GATCGGCAGTTCGAAACCATCAGCTTCTCAGCGGGAGAAAGACTGAACTTTCTAATCCCATAAACAGCGACAGTCTCAGAAACGCACAGGGGTGGTCTCTATGCGTTGGCACAGCTCCATGGCCGTGAGTTTGGTTTGGAGTTGGGGGACCTGCTCTAGGAGCCCTGGTGGTGTTGTGGTGACTCCTGGGGCTGCTAACCTCAAGGTCAGCAGTTTGGAACCACCAGCTGCTCCGAGGGAGAAAGATGAGGCTGTTCTACTCCCGTAAAGAGTTCCAGCCTCAGACACCCACAGAGCTAGGTGTGCCCTGTCCTGTAGGTAGCTATGGGTCGGAACCTTCGAGATGGCAGTGAGTTTGGCTTCGTTTGAGAACTCCCAAGGCTGTAAATGTTTACGGGTCCCTCTCCTGGATTGACTGATGGGTTCGGAGCGCTTTGCCACCGTGTCTCTGTCGGACCCTTTGAGCCATCAAATTAATATTTATTCCGACATAAAGTCACATTCTCACATGCGAAATACAGTTGAAAATAGACATCTGACTTAGATATCTTTTGCCCACACACCCAATATTAGCAGTAAAACCTTAATCCACACACACACACACACATATACACACACTCACCAAATAAACAGTAAAATGATTCACTTGTGTTTCCACTGGGAACTGCAGAACTACATGACAACATTGTTTACCAGGTTTTAATTTCCTGGTTAATAAAAGTGTTAAGAACAAGGAAACTGGGGCCCAGGTTAGCAGTTTTGCAAACCCCCTTGTGACAAAGCACAGGTGTGCACCCTAAGGTAGCTCGGAGTTTCTCTGATGGAAGGTTCATTGCTCTTGCTTCCAGAGAGATGTGGTGCCTTTTACACCAAAGATGTATGCAAATCAGTGGCTCCTTTCTGCCACTTGAGAGACCTCTTCACCTCCTGTCAGCTGATCTCGGTAAGGGGACAGAGTTCAATCAATCACCCAACAGCTGGATCTGTTCTCCTTCTCTCTCTTTATAAAAGAACCCCATTGCACGCGGCCTTCATGTGGCCATGTGCCTGTGTGGGGCCCACCAGCTGCTCTGTGGGAGATAGGTGGGGCTGTCTGCTCCTAGTAAGGCCAACAAGATGGCAATAGGTTTGTGATGTGAAGGAGGCATTTGTGTTAATGAGCAGGATGCCATCTTCCTGGTGAGGCTGTATCTTGAGTAACTCTCTTTTGAGATAGAAAAGAGTTACTTAAATAAGACAGTGGAAGAGGGACCTCCTAAGGCTAAGAAAGAAGGGCTGGGAGCAGATCTGGGGTACTGTTAGGGCAGGAGCTCCTGGGCTGAGAAACTCCTAGACCCAGGAGAAGGTCGATGACAAGAACCTGTCCCCAGAGCTGACCAAGAAGAGAGACGCCTTCCTCAGGAGCTGGTGAACTGAGTCTGGACTTCTACCCACCTAATTTGGGAGAGAATAAATTTCTGATTGTGAAAGCCACCCACTTGTGTTGTTTCTGTTACAGCAGGACTAGATAACTGAGACACCGACGAGGCAAAACTAAACACATGAGGTGCTTGTGGCCCACCAAGGGGATCAGATAGCTTGCAAATAATGTAAACAAGGTGCATGGTGCCTTTGTGGAGAGGAGGTATGCAAATAAGGTGTATGGAATCCTAAGGAGGGGACTGGTCAGTTTTGACATCTGCTAGCCTCACTGCGGTGAGGACAGCAGCGATTGGGTTGGCAGGTTTACAAGGAGAGGTTTACCGGGAGGGGAGTTCGGAAGGAGGACAGTGTAACCCAGAAGACGGCAGGAGTTGAGGGCTGGAGATAGCTGTAGTGGGACGGCAAGTCTTCCTGAGAAGGGGCTTGCCAAGGCCTGGCTGCAGAGGGCAGGACGAAGCCTTCCTGATGAAGAACTGTGAGGAGGTCCTGGGGGAGGGGAGGCGAGGGGGCCGCTGGTGCCAGGGCATTGATGGATATAAGAATGACTGAAGCATTTTAGAATTGATTGTGATGATGGCTGCTCAACTGTTTTAAAAATACATTTAAACCACTGAATTGTAGGGCATATTAATTATACCTCAAAAAACCTTTTAGAAACCAATACTTAAAGTACGTTTAAAAAGCTATCGTTGAAATCTGAGGGATAAGACGCTGTGTCATGAAATAAGAACAAGAAGCTATTCTTTTTAAAAGAACATTCAGAAAACGAAAAAATCGTTTCTTGAACATATAAAAATAGGATAGTAGAATTGATCAGACAAAAAGAAAAAATTTAATAGAAGGCCAGGAAGAGAAAGTTGAAAAAAGGCCAAGAAAACAAAATGAAACCATGAATGACTTATTGAATGTAAAACTGATGATGTTACCCAAGTGTGATAATTAGGTTTATTGTGTCAACCTGGCCAATAGGAACATGTGGGATTAATTAGGTCACAGTTTGATTGCAGGGTAAAGAGATAAATAGCTCTGAAAGGCCACAAACACACACCCCCCCTTGCTCTCTGGTGATCTGAGTGTGCTGGAGCGTGGAGTGCTGCTGCTTTAGCTAGTTCTCTGCCTCAACCTGTGAGCTACACCACCTGTGGGCCAGGCCAACCTGCAGATCCTCGATTGAGCTTGAGGCTGATGGATTCCATCGCCTTGCATTGTTTGTGTTCGGCCATCCAGGCCTGCTTCCCTAAGCTCCCAAGCCACTAACTGTTGGTGACCCACTCTGCTGCTTGCTGCCTGTGGACAGACTCTGCTTGCCTTGCCCCAGGGAGGACTCTGCTGTCTGCTTCTTTGACCTTGGACCAGGCAGCCCACATGAGTTGAAGGACTTCAAGAATATTAACTGTTCCACGGAAGTGAACCCTCTGTACTGCTGGGTGGACTAATTAGCTGTTATATTCCTTCTCGCTGTATAAACCTAGCTATCGAGCTATAAAATCATAAGTGTCCTGGTTTCATTTCTCCAGAGAACCTTGCCTAATGCACCAAGTCACAATAAAAAGTCAAAAAGGAAAAGAAAAGGATAAAGACATGAAAAGTTGGAAAGAAAAGAAAAGTAGAAGGCCAGACCAAGAGGTCCAGCAATCTGAGAAACAGGAACTGCAGAAAGAGAAGGGAAGAGATGGAGGAGAGGAAATCATCGAAGAAGCCATTAAGAACATTTCTAAGAGAGAGAGAGAAAAAAAGGCTGGACATTTCCAGATGGAAAGGGTCTAGTGAGTGCTAGCCCAGATGAAAAGAGACTCACCTAGGGTAAGAAACCTCAGAACTCTTAAAAGATTCCAACAAGAGCAACAGAGGTCACACAGTCCCAAGGCTCAAGGCCCAGCTGGGCTTCAGTCCCCCCAAATCAACATGGCCGCTGGAAGACATGGTCCCAAAGGAAGATCATGGCCAACTTGGGAGCCTTACTCCGCCAAGCATTAAGCAAGCGTAGGGATGGAAGGCAAGATTTGCAAAGTCCCACCTGAAAGTGCACTCCTTCTGAGGGTCTCCAGGAGAACGGACTCAACACAGTCATGTGCAAAGTGGGAAATGAGGCTCCAACCGGGAGGAAAGTCAAAGCCATCCCCGGGGTGATAGTGTACACAGGATGACATGGGTACCAGGCCTGCAAGACCACAGTCCAGACAGGAGCACAGTGACTCTAGTTATAGATGTGTTGAAAGGGCCACCAAGCTCCCCACTGCCTGTTGAAGAAGAATGGACTGCCGGCGGAAGAATGGTCCAGATTCTTGTCTGCACTGGGTTGGTCTCGATCATGACCTCAAGGAGCCTGGACTAAGGGGCCACTCGATCCTTCTGGAATTGTCCAACTTCCCTCTCCCCCTCGAAGCTCAACAGAGGGCAGTAAACTCCAAAGCAAGAACAACTCGGTCAAGGCCATACCCCAGTCCTGCCTCTCCCAGGGACTCTTGTCAACCACCGGGGACACTGGGGTCAGTCTTACTCTGTCCAGGGACTCTGTTCAGATGTTCCTTCCCAGGAGTCTTCTGGTTTGACAGAGGACTCCCCCCACCTCTCCCCAGTCAGGCTTTCAAAGCTAATCAATACATTGATCAAGGAAACATACCTAGGTGTATTAATACAACTCCAAAGCAAAACATGGGCACATCCCACCCAAAGTCAAGTTAGACATCGTCTCTGGAGTGGGTAGGGAGGGGTCATTGGAGAAGGCACTCCGGGGCCCCTGGGGCACAGACCCTGTTCTGTGATTATCCTGGGACGTGGGCCCCTGGGTGTGTGTTGACTATGATTTTTAAATGGTGTGTTGCTGCTAGGGCCTAATGAGTTTTGACTTATTTCAATCCTGTGTGACACAACTTCCCTGTCTGGTTTTTCAGGTGGCAGAGCGGGTTATGGACAGGACTTCCTTCCAACTTCAAGGTCAGCAGTTCAAAACCACCTGTCTCTCTTCAGGAGGAAGAGGAGGCTTCCTACTCCCTTAAAGAGTTACAGTTTCAGAAGCCCACAGGGGCAGCTCTCCCTGGTCTATAGGGTCACTGAGTCAGCATCGACTCGATGGCAGTGAGTTTGGGTTTGGGGGTTGATCGTTCCGGGAGCAACCAGCTAAGTCTTCCTTGCACAGAGCCGCTGGGTGGGCTTGAACCACAGATGTGTCCATTAGCTACTGGCTGCTTAACACATGTACCACTAGGATTCTTTTTTAAAGTGTGCACCTCAATGTTATTCATGTAGATGAAACGGTTCACAGTTTTTTGAAAACCCACGCAGGCACATATTTGTTCATGCAGAAAGAGGTTTCTGATGGACGAAAACTGATTACGAAATTGTCCACTTTTGGGGGGAGAGAAACAGGGGTGTGTGCTTAGAAAAGGCAAGAAAGTAGAGGATGGGAGAGAGTCCTCATTTTTTCTTTTTACTTGTCTCTATGTATATATACAAAGGGAGCCCTGGTGGTGTAGTAGTTATGAGTTGGGCTGCGAATCCTGACGTCTGCAGTTCGAAACCACCAGCCGCTCTGTGAGAGAAAGGTGAGGCTTTCGACTCTGGTTAAGAGTTACAGTCATGGGAGCTCACAGGGACAGTTCTACCCTGTCCTATAGATAGCCACGAGGCAGAATTGACTTGGGGGCAGTGAGGTTAAGAGTTTATGTAGGTACACTGGAGCCCATTGGGCTGCGATCTGCATGGTCGGCAGTTCAAAACCACCAGTAGGTGGAGAAAGACTGGGCTTTCTACTCCAGTCAACAGTGACCGTCTCAGACCCCCACAAGGGGTCACTCGGAGTCAGTCTTGGCTCAATGGCAGTGAGGTGGCACAGTGGGTGACAAGTTCAGCTGTCAGCTGTCAGGTCAGCAGTTTGAATCCACCAGCTGCTCCCAGAAAGATTACAGCCTCAGAGGACCCAAGGGATCGCTTTGAGAACTGACTCGATGGCAGGGTGCTTCGGGTTTGGGGCGTTCTAGGACTATCTATCTATTTATAGCTTTGTTATTGTGCATTGGGTGGAGGTTTGCAAAGGACACGCTCCATTTTCCATGCAACAAGTCAAACACATTTTGTTTCATCTCACTCATTGCAATCCTCGAAATGGACCGTCCCTGGACCCGGTCCCTCCCTGTACTCCTCCTGTTCTAACCCTTGCGAAAGTTGGCCCTGGGCTCAAGCTGTCCCCCTGCTCTTCAATGGTTGATTATTCTAAGCCTTGGGACCTGCTGCTTGACTGAAGACTAAGCCCCGGGCAGGCGCAGAGCCGTCCGTGCTGGCAAGGTTCGGGGCTTCGGCAGCAGGCCAGATAATCACCCCTCTGCTCTTCCGTGTCTGTTGCCCCATTTTGCAGGTGGGAAACGCGAGGTTCAGAGATCTGCCCAAGGACACACGGCAGGGGCCTGGGCACCTGGGTGAGTCCGCCCTGCGTCCAGCAGACCCCGTAGGGGGGAGAAGTGGCCAAGAGGCCGCTTGTGGGCAAAGGGGCAGCGGCATAAGAGCGCCTCCCAGGGGAACGGTGGCTGGGGAAACGCAAGCGCCCGCGGGTGCCCAGCGACA